GCACGCTTTCTCTGCCCTTCATTTTGCAGCAGTGCTAGCGATCGCAAATGATCGTGAACCTCACCTTTTTCAGCTTTCCCCAAAAAAGAGCTAACCATGCAAAATGTTGTGAGTTAACTGACTTTGCTGATAAATCGTACATGTACTGTACAATTATTCATTGGTTTACTCCAAACACTTCCTTAATCTTAATGTCCTTCCCAAAGTTCATTACAGCATTAAGCTTTTCTCTACTACCCACAGTCCTTGAAAATTACAAGCCACTTTGTTCTTAGGAATCAAAATGTTTATTAGCACAAACAATAATTTCTCCACATTCTGTTTTCTTTTTTAAAAATTTTATTGTGCATATTACTTGAACAAAGGGATTTCATTTACATAGTATTATTCACTTCATTATATATTCACATAAGGAACTTTGATCAAATTCACCCTCTTTATTACTCTTTGTCTCTCCTTCCTCACTCCCCCTTTATTTTACCATTTTCAGTGAATTTCACTATGCTATTTTTATAAATACATATAATGAACTGCACTGATGTTTTCATTCACTGGATATAGCCTTCACCAACCTGCCTACCTTTCTCATCCCCCTTTGATAAAGGTGAATATGTTTTCTCCATCTTGTTACAAAGTCAATGGTTCAAAAACATATTTGTACATACATCTTGGATTCTACTTAAGGTAGAGTCCTAGAAAGGGAATTCCTGCATCTAAACATAATTTCCACATTTATTGAGTGCCTTTTTTGCTCTTTGAACACATTAAATTTACATTATAGGAGCTTTCAATCCATGACTAGGGAAAATTTAAAGCCTATGACCTTTATCCATTTAACACTTACTAAACAAGTACTATAGGTTGGTGCTTTTCTAAGAAACACTGCCTCATTAATCCTATGAAGTAGCCCATACTAAGCCATAAACTATGGCGTAGGGATTTCAATTGCCTTGCCCACAGTTCACAGTCCTTAGAGGCAATGCCATGACTAAGACCCCAGGCATTCTAGCTCTCCCTGTATCTCTTGTTGCATCTCAACAAAGAAAATCTACAACCACACTCTCCCTTATATTTTGGGCTTTTCTAAAACAGAGCTAGATCATCCAGCTTACTTTTTAGCTCATTTGTACATCTATTCTGGAGGAAGGTCTAGGGTGGAATCTAATCATGTAAGTTTTCAGGGTTATTTACTCCAAAAGCTCATTTTCTCCAGTGTCATTTCTTCACCCATTTGATTTTAAATAATAATGATGAAAAATAATTAAGATCTTTATGATGGAATATTGTGTTCTTGAAATTAGGATCAGTTAAGGGATGGACAATCTGCTTGTTCCTAGCCCATTGAATAGCCTTGGTAGCCTGGACCATTACCAAGATGGCAGCTTTGTGACTCCAGGTCTTAGATACCATGTTGGCATACCATGAGAAGTTGTGGAATTAGTACCGGGAAGAAAGCATTTGTTTCTGTGACAGGGGCCATTCTTCTGTTGTGAAGTTGATTTGGAAAAGAGCTGTGCATTTGGGGAACTAGATCAAACAAATTTCTTAATACTATCCAAGAAGAATAAGGCCTCGTACCACTGTGGTGCAACATCACCCTGCCGCACAATAGCAGGTACTGGTGGGTGTCTTTTCCCATGCGTTGTGACTTTAGAATGGCTAATGAAATTCAATTACTCATTTGAGAGAAACAGAGTAAAAGTAAAAAGCACTATAAAAATCCAATCCAATTCAGGGTAATCTTGGCACATACCTTATCCCAGTTGGTATATTTCCAAAAGAAGCAGGCACATTAAATTCAGGAGGGACAACTCAACCTTTGTTGAAGCTGTAAATCAATGCTGCTCAGTTCCCACTTCCACTCAATGTGTCTGCAAGGAGCAGTAGTCAGAAATGAATGGCTCCCACCATCCTTGTGTAGGTCTTTGACCAGAACTCTGGGCTGACAGCTGTTTTGCTCCAGCCAGAGTACGGTTGTATAGCCTGGATCCTCTCACTGACAGATACATGAAGCTTATTTCACAAGCTTTGTCAAATCTCAGGTTCTAGGTGCTGTGCAACAATCGATGCTATTTTCTTATTACACTTCATATCCACAAAATTATAACACATTGAGTATTTTGAATATTATACATTCATTAACAAAATCACTAATTAATTTATCCACCCCCAGAGGCCAACATGTATGAATCAGATGTGCTGGATTTGGGATCCCCATATCACAATAACCTCAGTGCAATATTCAAAACTGGAAAGTTTGAGAAAAATGTAATTTATTAATTGGCTGATATGTCACAGCTTGAATAAAAACATAAAAATTTGTCTTCCCACAGATGTGTAGGAGGAAGGCTTTACTTTTTGGGAGTATATGAAGAAAAGTTTAGGATTCAATTTCTCTATTATTTTATCAGTAACCTTTGACTGGTTGTACTAATGTGAACAAGATTAATTTCAGGTAGAATTTGGATTACAGTCCAAAATCTTTGAAACATTTTTTTCTCCAACTTCTTAATTAGTGCTCAAGTTTGAGAATAATGAGAGATAAAATTTTAAAGGTGATGAGAATGAGATTATAGAAAATCACTCAAAACATCCTTATGTCATTTCTGTTTTTTTTTTTTTTTATGTCTTTTATTCATATGTGCATACAATGTTTGGGTCATTTCTCTCTCCTTCCCCCCTGCCCCCTCCTTCCCCCTCCCCCTCCCTTCCCCCACCCCCTCTCTACCCGCCTACCCCCTCATTTCTGAGCAGAAACTGTTTTGCCCTTATCTCTAATTTTGTTGAAGAGAAGTATAAACATTAATAAGGTGAACCAAGGGTTTTTGCTAGTTGAGGTAAGGATAGATATACAGGGAGATTCTTCGCATTGCTTTCCTGTACATATGTTAAACCTGGGAGTGACAACACAAACTGATTAGTGCAAGGAAGGGGGAAAAATTAGAAAAGTGTTAACAGCCATGGCCTGTTTCATGAGACTCATGGCATCCTATACTTAAAACAAAGAACTTTAGTGAGGAAAAGGGACATAAATGACCAAATAAACCTGTAGTGGAGGCTGGGGGTGTGGCTCAAGAGGTAGAGCACTTACCTAGCATACACAAGGCCCTAGGTTCAATCCCCAGAACTGCAAAAAAAAAAACCAAAAAACCGTCTGTAGCAGTTTAATTATACATTTTGTTTCATTTTCTGCATTTCATGTATACACATTAATATTAGAAAAAAAGAGGCTCTAGAATAAGTGAAGGATTTTAGACTTGAAGGCCCAGAGGGCATTTGTCAATGCTGATGTGGAATGGTGCAACGTATGAGGAAATAAAGACTGCTCAGGCTTATAGTTGAACTGTAGTGAGATGCCATTCCAAAATCAATTTAAAACAAAATAAAAGAAATGTTGGCACAAAATCAAATATCTAGAGACTGCATTAGGTTTTTTAGCTATCAACTTGTATTCCTTGGAATTATCTTTTGCCTGGGAAGTCAGGAATTGGAAATTAAAATAAGTCTAAATGGAATAACAACATCAAAATGCAGGAAATCTAGAAAAAAAATAGTTACACAGCAAGCCATACCATAATGTCTCACAATGCTCAGTGTTTCACAGTGCTTTCACTAAACAGGTTATGCTGGGCAGTCAAATTTCTTCTTTTCTTCAAATATTCCATGGAGCTCTATATTTTTATTTGCTAAATATAGCTACCTTACTTGAAGGGCTCATCCAGGAAAACGTTCACCTTACATTGCCCTCAGTTTACTTAAGCATTTAAGACTTATTTTTTAAAGTGCAGAAAATGCATGGGGATCTTTGCTATTGGCCCACTATGTTCACATTTTGTTTTGGTTTTGTTGTATATTTGGAAAATCATCAAAATAAATATTGACTGCTACCTTGAGAGGCCCATTAGCAGTTTTTAAAATGTCAATGAAAGTTTTGGGGACTTTACCAGCAGAAATCTTCCAAAGAAGACCTTAGAATCAAAGCTAAATCTGTGTGCTTTGCAGAGTGAGGTAGAGTGGTCACAGAGGAGGTTAGGAAGGCGTTTGGAGAATTTCTGTTGATGTCACTGATGTGAAAAAGAAAAGGAGTATTTTTCCTCTTTCAAGATCACTTCAGCATCCAAGTTTCATGCTGCCTCCTCTAGCTTCTAGCAACCCCCTCCAAAAAAATGAAAAGCAAAAGACTACTCTTTTCATTTAGTTTGCATGACTACTTCATCAAAGGGCTATGGAACTCAGATTATATCCTCAGTTTTCTTTTTTGTAATATTTTGTTTGGGGGCCCCATTTTCTCACTTTGTGAGTTATACAGAGTTTGGAGGATACACATCAATTGTATATTGGAACAGTAACTTCTCCCTCTGGCACTGATTTTTCTGGCTCTATGGGAGGCTTCAAGGAGGGGAGTAATTTTGTCCTTGGGTTCAGGTCGTTAATGTGGTATGATTATCTGGCTCTTTTTTCAGACTTGCCCATTTTCCCCACAGTGTCCCCTGATTAATTGTGTTGTTTAGTGCTATTAGAGGCTGACCCCAGCTTCTCTCTGTGCAGACAAAGAGACCTAGAGCCAAGCAATTAATCCTCACACAGGATCCATGCTTCAGTGACAACGAAGATAGACTATGATACTTTGATTGCCAACAGGGTGCCAGCGTCCTTAAATTGAATCAAGTAGAGCTTACAATGAAGTATCTAATTCAGCCAAAGTGGTCATCACCATCATAATACTGTAGCAAGTAAGCCAAAGGCCCTTGTTCATATTGAGAAGATCAAGTTTACATAAACATCAGTCTTTGAATGAGACAGGCAGGAACACCCTGACCCTGGGAGGCATGGTGCAAACAGCTTGATGTAGTCAGGGAGATGTCCAGTCTTTCCGATCTCTCCTCACATACTTTCAGATCTGAAAATAATAGTTGTGTGGCTATGTCCCAAATGCCCAAAGTCTGTGTGACTGCACCGGAAGGACTTTGCAATGTCAAAGCAACAGTGACAAGTAAGAAATGACATTAGAGCATCATGGAGAAAAAGCAAGGTGGCATGTACAAGTGGTTAACATCATGTTTTCTTTTCTACAGCAGGAAAAACCTAGGCTTCTTGAGCCTTTGGATTATGAAGCTGTCATTGAAGAACTTGAAAAGACCTATCAAAATGATCCTCTTCAAGACCTCCTGTTCTTCCCCAAAGATGACTTCTCAGTAAGTTCCCTTAAGTTATGTAAATTCAGGAGGGCCCCACAAACTGAGTCAATGGATTCATTGAGCTCAACTCTCCTCCTGTGGCCATCTGACATCACATTGCTGCAGCAGGAGTCTAGAAAATACCCACTGGCCTCCTCAATTTGGAAGAGCGGGGATTCAGTGAGACTGTGACCACTGGTGGGGAACAGGAGCAGTGTAAGGTGTTTTCTGGTTTCAGCTGGCAGTCATGGTGTTGACAGTTTCTAACCAATGCCTTCTCTGGACTCACAGAGCACTTCCTCCCTCAGGCCATTTCTAACTAAAAGATTCCAAGCAACCCAAACTATACAGGAGCAAAAGCAGGAATCTACTGGCACAAAAGAGACATTTCTTTAAAATCATCCTGAATTGTTATTGGCCTTTGATTAGGAGATGTTAAGGCTTGGGGGCAAAGAAAGGCGGGCAAGAACATCTTCATGGAGGGATTTGTGGTCTGAGACATTGTCTTGTTTAGGTCAATGCACTTTGCCACAAAGACTGCACCTGAGGGTAGTAGAGAAAATGAATAAAAAGGAAATTAATTTTGAAGACAAACACAATAAAGTTAGGGGTGATGAACACCAGTAAGTCCCAGAAATTCAATACTGTTATTTGTGATCATCTTCAACTTTTTAAAACCACTAGTAACTAACTATGTAAATAGAGATATCCAGAGGCAATTGGTAACCTTTCTTGCTTTTTCCTGAAAGAAAGGTAGTCTTAGGCATCCATGTTTCAACATCTTAAAGCAGGTAAAAAGGCAACTGCAGGATAATTGCAGGTATTGGTCAAAATCCTCTGTCAGGGTCCAAGAACGTCAGTACCCACAGTTTACTGAAACAGACAGCTTCAAACTGTGGTTGCCTCTCTCTCCTGTGGGGCCGATCTGATTTCTAAAGGGTTCTTTTCATCTTCCGGTTCATGAAAAAGAAGTTATATGAAAGGTGATACTTCTCTGTTCCAAATACGAATTACAAGGGAAGAAAGGAGACAGATTTGTAATAAAAATAATTCTTCCAGTCTGTCTTAAATTTTTAAATGGCTTCCATCTAATGTTGGCATGTGTTGAGAGAAGCTTATTTCATACAGAAATTTCATTTCCGTGGGTGGACCAGTCCACTGGGGCTTGAACTGTAAGCAGAAAGTTGAACCAGATTTTTTTTTTAAATTCTACGTCCTCATTTTCATTTTTCAGACTGAAGTTAAATCAACCAAGCAGCTTTTATGTCAAACAGCACCAAAATTGGTGACCCTTGGAGCACCTTTTCTTCTAGCTCTGTCATTCAAAATATATCAAATGACACCCTAAGGAACCCCTTCCCCACCCTCAGCTCAAAAAGAAAGCGGAAAAATGTAGATGAGTGTAACATTGGCACTGAACTTGAATTCAATTTTTGGCATCTTTCCAGACTTATTGAAGTTAAGGATTGTCTTCTATTGCTTTTTGAACTTTGCCATCCTTACTGGTGTAAACAGAGCATATAAAAACATACTGCTCTTTCTTTCCTCAGCGTGAACATTCCAATAAGTGCACTGAGATGTTTTATTCTGTGACTGCATTAAACCCTTCCATGGCTTTTCATTGTCTTGTAAATGAATATGAACATCTTAGCATATCCTAGGACCTTCCCCAACTCTTAGCTCTTGCTCATAGCCTTCCTGACAAGCACCATAGCCCAGCTCATCCTACACAGTCATTCTCATACACCATGGAGTAAAATACTAGAGCAATCCGAACAGCATTTTGTAACACACCACTCCCCATTTCCTTTAGTCATTCAACAGGTAAGTACTATATAACCCTGAATGTTAGGTACTGTTCTAAGAATGGAGATGCAGCAATTATTGCACAGAAATGGCCTTGTTCTAAGGAATCTTGCCTTTTGATTGGAGGAGTCAAGAAAAAAATAAGCAAACAAGTGAATTAACAAATAAACTAACAAGATAAAGACCAGTTCTATGAAGAAAATAAGCCAAGGTAGTGTGATGGAAACTGACTAGGGGAAGAACATGTTGGACTGTGTAGTCAGGTACAAGTCTGACCAGGTGACATTTGAGCTGAGTTCACAATTCTCAAGGAGGATCAGCTTATGCTAAAACTGGGAAAGAACTGTTTCTAGCTGAGGGAATAGCTGCTACAAAGGCCTGAAGAGGATCTTTGAAAGGTTGGTAAGGCTGGACAGGAAAGTCAAAGACTAGATTGAGCAAGGAGAAGATAAAGAATTTGCATCTTCTTCTAAATGTGAATGTCAGATATCTGAGTTGTCTCTGGAAAACAAATGACTGATGTGTATTATTAACAGCTCATCTGGCCTCTGTGTGGAGAACGTGTTACAGGGCCCAGGAGAAGCCAGAGGCCCTCTGGGAGAGGAGCTCCCATTAGTTGATGCTCAAGAGATATTTGATGCCACCTAATCCTTATTATTAGAAAATGTCATATCCTACAAATGGCTACATTTTAATTCACATTAAGCAAATGGCAAATGAAGGAGAATGTTGAGTTATTATATTTACATAAAATGCCATTTTTAAATAATATTCAGGTGGTTTGTTGTCCCTCCTTCCTGCCCTACGTGGTTTGACTTGGCAAACTAGGACCAACATGCAGCCTCGTTTTGTATGTCTTAAGAGCTAAGAATTTGTTTTTATGCTTTTAAATAGTTAAAGGGAAAAAAATAATAGTTTGTAAAAGTGAAAATAATCTGGAATTCAAAGTTTGGTATGCATAAGCATAGCTCATATTGGAACATAGATGCCTGTTCATTTGCCTGTCACCAACGACACCTTCATGTTTTGTAAGCAGAACTTCAACAGGTTGCAGAGTTGCCATAGAGACATTTACTCTAAAAGACTTACTCTCTGATTTTGTAGAACAAGTTGGCCAATCCCTGCTACACAGTACAACTGCATTTGTTTGGGGTTCTTTTTGTTTCGCCTTCTTTGAGGATTATAGATACTTCTCTTAAATTCCCTGGTGTTATCTGCTGTATTCAGTCTGTCACATTTTATGGGCATTGGTCACCAGCAGCAAGCTTCCATGCACATGGCAAGTGTATCATTTCCTTGGCTTCTGCTTGCCCCATGGGTTAGGATTCTCTGAGTGCGGGTTGTGGACAGTCTGCACTCAGCTAAGGGGAAACAACATCAGAATGACCAGGCCAATCCCAAGGCCCTGCGGGATGGAGGGGTAGGGAGCTACTCCCCCTTCCATACCTTGACAATCCAGTTTCTGCCCTGCAGATTGGAGGATCCAGCTCATTTCTCTGTTTTCGTGTTTCTGAGCACCCACACTGGCTGTAGACATGATTCATTACTCGCTTTGTTTAATCAATATTTATTCAGCACCCACGAGGTGCTGAATATAGAGCAGCCCTTCCTAGACAAGTGAGACTGACGAGAAAAGCAAGAGCCTGTGTTTCAGGAGTTTGTGCCCGAATAAGGATGAGGAGTACGGCTGATGAAAATGCTCATAGTTAAGAAATGCCAAGAAACAGAGGCTGTACTGCTGCTTGGCACACCAGAACGGGGATGGTTATCTACTAGGGCAGTATTCTTACCTTGCAAAGATTGGAAGTTTTTCCTGTTCACTCTAGCGCCCCATGCTACCATCACCATTTTTGCCTAGACTCTCCCTGAAGAGGCCTAATAACCAGTCTTCCTGCTTTCTACCTTGCCCTGCTTTGATTTATTCACAGACAGTACTCAAACAAAACTAATAGACACCTAATCAGATAATGCCTTGCCTCTGATTAAAATACTTGATTGTCAAATCCAGCACGTCACCATTGTCCCTGTCACCTGGCTTGTGAACAACTCTTGAGTCTGATATCCTAAACCTATCCCTTGGTTACCTCACAGGATACCCGGCATTCATTCTGTTCCTACAAGAACAGAAGCCAAGCTTATTGCCTCTGTAGAACTTGTACTCTTCCTTGCATCTCTGGTTCTTCTGTTCCATTCATGACTCAGCTCAAATGTCATCTCTTCCAAGAAGCACCCCTAACTCTAAACCTACGTTGCCCCACTTGTACCTGAATTCCTCCATCTCATCATGCTGCTTGCCTCTCTTTATATCCCTGGTTTCTACTTGAAACTATCGCAGTTGGCTTTTTCACTCCCCCATCACTTCTTTCTGCCACAAATACTAACCTCCCGCAGGAAGGGTGTCTTCACTCTTGATCATTGCGAGATTCCCAGCAGCTAAAGCAGCACTTGGCACAAAGCAAGTCCAAAATTAATATTTATTTCATGAATTTCCTTTCAGAAACATGTGGATTATTAAATCAAAGTCTATTCCGAAATGAAATTCTTTTTTTTTTTTTTTTTGCACTACTTGGGTTTAAACTTAGGACCTCACACATGCTAGGAAGGCACTTTGCCACTTGAGTCTGTCCCCAGTCCTTTTATTTTTGCTTTTAGTTATTTTTCAGATAGAGTCTGGTCCAGCTGAATGAAACTGAGAAACAAGAAAGGATGAAGCAATTGACTTAATGATGAGAAATGATTATTAATAGGATATTTTCCTCTTTGACACAGTTCAGCATTTCACCTTAAAAAACAGTACTTTTTCTAGAGGCTCATTTTATCTAATATAGTGTGTGGCACATAGCGACATAAACAAAGGTTAGCTTCTTCCCTTGAACACTTTAATGTACTGGTGCGCCTACTTACTCATTTCTTTTCTGTTACTTCTTTTCTATCACTAGGCAAGGAAGAAATCAGTTCCTGTCTGGATATCAAGAACCGAACACACAAGTTCATGAGCATGCAATAGAGATTGTTAACATTGAATTAAAATATCCTTCCAGGTTAAAGGCTTGAAGCCAAAGCATTTTCCTTTACCTTGGTACACTAGGAAGATTCTATTCTCCTCGTACATGGGTTCTAGGACAAGGCAGTATAAACTTCTGTCCTACTTGCATCTTAATAGTTCGGAAGGAGTAAGCAATATATGTGCATTCACTAATTCAGGCGTTCCA